GCCCAGTGGTGGCTCTCTTTAAATAGCAAGGACACCAGTGTCATCGTCACCGGCTGTCTGGGTCCTGGAGTCTGGCCCCGGCAGTTGACAGCTCCAAGCTGGCCTCATGCTCTCCATGACCTCCAACCCCCCAACCCCCACATTCATTCAGACAGCATCTGGGAAACTGCAGTCAAGTGGGCCTGCCAGGAGGCCACATATGCCTTCTCCAGCCATTCAAGGAGCAAAGGGCTGCTAGCACCCCAGTGAGTAGGTGTAGGAGAAGAGGAAAAGGAGGGGCGGGGTGGAGCTCTACGACATGAAGCTGCGTTGTCTCATTCAGACTCAGGTTCCAGGTTATCCCACATCGACTCAGCACAAGCTCTGGAGTCAGCAGGTATGGGTTCAAGTTCTGGCTTGTCATCTACTAGAAATGCAGCTTTGGGTCAGTATTTTAGACCAGGGAAACCTGTGAGAACCTGAACTCCACGGGCTACAAGATGCAGTGTTACCTCTTTTCTACTGGTGGTGTACATTTCCGTTTTCTTTTGCTGACAAGTTGAGGTTTTCAAAGGTTTTACTGTATGCCTCAGTTTTCTTATCTGTTAAAGGGGGTTAAGAATTGCTGGCTCATTGGATCTTTGAGAGAATTGATTATGACGTCTTGTATAAACACTTTTAGAGTCCTGGTGTGGTACTGTGGGATAAAGCACTGACTGCAAGGTCAGCTTGAACCGAAAGGTCAGCAGTTTAAAATTTACCAGTCGCTCCTTGGAAGCCCTATATAGGGTGAATCAAACCGACTCAATGGCACTCAACAACAACAACAACAACAACAAATAAACACTTTTAGCAAAATGCCTGCATAGAGTGAAACTTAGTAGGTGCTGCTGCAGGATAATGCGCTGGACCGCAAGGTCAGTTTGAACCACAAGGTCGGCAGTTCAAATCCACCAGCCACTCCTGGGAAACCCTATACAGGGTCGCTATGGGCTGGAACCGACTCCATGGCACTTAACAACAATGAAAATCTCAAGACTGATGTCTCATTGCTATTTCCCGAGTACCCTGAAGACCTTAAAGTGGAGAGTGGCTCAGAATTCTTTACAAAATTACCTCTTGGGTTTTCCAACAAACGGACTGAATTTTCCACACTCAACAGAGAATGAAACAGCGCTCTCTGCTGGCCAATTGGAATTAACATTGACCCTCAAAGTGTTTTAAGTACCATCGAGTTTTTTCCGACTCATAGTGACCCTGTATAGGGTTTCCGGGGAGAGGTTGGTAGAGTTGAACTGCCAACCTCACAGTCCAGTGCTTATCCTACAGCACCACACGGGGACTGTCATGTTGTAAATGCTGTTAAGTCGGTTACAACTCAAAGCGACCCAGTACAGGGTTTCCAACAAGCAGCTTGTGTGTTTGAACTGCTGACTTTGTGGTTCTCAGTTGAGTGCTGACCCTATAGCACCACATCAGGAGTCTCTGGATTGGGTTCCTGAAGCTGTAAATCTTTATGGGAGCAGAAAGCCCCATTTTTGTCCCATGAAGCAGCTGGTGGTGTCGAACTGTTGACCTTGAAGTCAGCAACCCAACGTGTAACCCAGAAGTGCAGATGGAGGTAAAAGGAGTCAAAATCCCCTCAACTTGGGAGTCCCTGGGTGGTGCAAATGGCCAACAGCTTGAAAGGTTGGAAGTTTGTGTTTACCCCAAAGTTTCTCAGGAGAAAGGCTGGCTCCGTGGCTTACTTTTGGAAAAATCAGCCACTGAAAACCCTAGGGAGCGCAGTTCTACTCTGTCACACGTGCGTCACCGTGAGTTGGCGTCAACTTGACTACAAGTCGGTAAGCAGTTTCAGCAAACCACCTCCTAACTGGAATCAGCAGAACCCCTCAGGTGTGTTTCATGTCCAGACAGATTACCAAACACTGGAGGGCTGTCCTTTCCCTGAGGCAAAATGTACAATATGCATACTGGTATGACACTGGGGTGCCAGGGCCCCATCTTGTCAGGGTCCCCCCACCCTATCCTTGCTGTCCCAAACCAAAAACCCTGTTTCCATGGAGTCAGTCCCTACTCCTAGGGACCCTACAGGACTGGGTGGTGGTGGTGGTTGTTTTGTGCCGTGGAGTCGGTTC